GTCCACGTCACTTTCGCTGTCATACATCTCTTCTGCTTCCACATGATCAACATCTTCATCACTGCTTTCCCTGAATAGAATCTCTTCTATTTCTTTTTGGGTGAAGTACTTCAGTGGTTTCCTTTTTGGCATTTTTTTCCCTAGAGGACTGCTAGAACTTCACCAGCTAGCTATCTTGCTAGGTATTTGCTGAAAGAAATAATGTGCACAGTTATCTAGCTAGCTTTTAGATAAAAAAAAAAGAAAAGAAAAAGAAATCTAATCAGCTAACAATTGCCAAGTTAAACAAACCTTACCTATGTGTTACTCACTAGCTGGGATGCCAGAAACACTAAACCTGCAACAGGGTGACAGCTGTAGTTGAAGAGGGACAGTAAATATGGTGAGCCTGAATGTTGTCACCCTTGAAATGCGGCAAGCTCGCCTGATTTTATACACTAACACTATCACCGGGTGAAATCCACCCAAAATCTACTTTATCCTCTATCACTATTGCCGGGTGAAATTCACCCAAACACATGCCTGTAGGAAAAAGCGGGATTTGGGGTAGGGAAACACCCACGCCTTCAAAGACAATGCTGAAACTACCCAGAGACCCACCACACTCAGACAAACGCAACATATTGAAAATTATGTAAATACATTTGCTCGGGAGAAAATCACCCGGCGATAGTGTTCTAGGGTTAAAAATGATAAACCCTGTCCAGCATGTTACTTAAAGAATATGGAATCATAACAGAGACGCTGTACACATATGTCTGTATTTAATTCTTTGTATGTCTACCTAAATACACAGTGACACATCATAAACATATACACCAATAGTTTAATAAGTTTCAACAATATACTGAGTCTATGTCTATAACATCACATACTATTTTATAATCATTACATCTTTATAATGAAAGCAAAAATTTAATTAGATTTTGCACATCTTAAAAATTAGATGACAGGATACTAATGAAGGCTTGACTTGAAAAACAAAACAAAGACAAGTTAAAAAATGTGTCTTGCCTACATGCAAATGTGTAACTGTGGTTACGGGTTCAAGGCAACAGCTTCAACAAAAACCATCCTGATATGTCTAATTACTAATATGTACTAAAGTAGGAATATGTATGTATTTTCAATGATAGCAAAATTTGATTGATTTCATACAACCTATGTTTAATATTGTGGGTAAACAGCATACTTTTACACTTTTACAGATTTTGAGCATTACACCTTAAAAGAGAAGTAACATTTTTCAGTACAATTCGCCATAATTATGTACAAAATATATGTACATAAAATAACATTGTGAAAAGCGAGTAGTCTACTTTCATAAAAGTATCTGAGAAAGAGATATCCTGATTTTGGCTTATCGACTTATTTCTCAGAGTTACATATTAAAGGGCAAGCTTTATCTCTAATCCGATTTTAGTTTTCTTCAGCCTCTTCATCAGCATGTGTTTAATGTCGCGAGTCTTGAAACAGTATATGACTGGATTAACAGCAGCAGGAAAAAGACTGTACAGCAATATCAACCCAATGCGGACATCTAAACTGAAAGAAAATCCAAAAGCATTAGCCACATAAACAAAACATCTGGGTAGATAAAAAAGACATGTGATAAATATTTGTGAAGTACAAGTGGATAAGGTTCTTTTGCGCCCTGCAGAACTGGACATTTTCATAATAACCACAATAATAGAAATGTAGGAAAACAAAATGAATGCAAGAGGAAGCAAAAGACAAAACATGGCTAAACAGAGTGAAGTGACTACAACAATTCTAACATCGTCTCCACAAGCCTGGCTTACTATGGATATGTGGTCACAGTAGCACTGAACAATGATGTTTGATTTGCAGAAAGGTAAAGTTAGGGCATGGAGTACAACAGCTATCATCAAAGGCAGAGGTATGAACCAAGCAAACCCACACAACACAGATATGACACTGTTTGTAATTAGAACAGGGTAACGAAGAGGAATACATATTGCAACAAATCGATCAAGAGCCATTACCAGCAAGATGAAAGATGTTACTGATCCCAAATAATGAACAAAGAACATTTGCGTAAAACAGCCATAAAATGAAATATCACTATTGTCAAACCAATATTTTGACATGATTTTTGGCAGTGTCACAGTGCCAAATGTCAAGTCATTCAGGGCCAGGTGACAAAAGACCAGATATGTTGGCTTTTGCAGGGACTTTTCATAGGCAACAAATGATAAAATGAAAATGTTCCCCAATGCAATTGCTAGGTAAACAAAAAAAAGAAAAGTTGATATGGGTCCATAATACTGTGGTGAAAGTCCAGGAAATCCAAGGATGAAGAAGCTTTTCATCCTTGTTACATTGGTGATCATAATTTCAGTAACAAATTTGATTAGAGCTTTGAAATATTGATATGAGAATATACTACTAACATGCACTATAACATTTATACATTAATCATTTTTCAGAAATCATTAAAAAAAACCTATTTAAAAGGTGGTCTTAGAAAAAAGCAATTAATTAGATGATCTCTGTTACATACTTTGAGTATGGCTTTTGCTTCTGATTGCAGCTCTATATTCAAAAGAGTGTCGGGGTGGTAGGCAGCATCCATCTTTTATGAGGTCTGACCTGTTGTATCCTCAATGGACACCCTTTAGCACACCCTTCTCTCTTCCTGCTAAGCTAGCTTGTAATAAATTATTCTTGGTCAAAAAGTGCTGTTCCCTGAAGATTTGGCAGTGCATTGGCTGCAAAATTCCATGCCAATAACTGAAGTCTGGAGAAACGAGTACTAAACAAGAGTGTACATAAGTAAAGTAAGTCAGTAAAATTTTATTTATATAGCACCTTTCAAGATAAAATCACAAAGTGCTTCACCAAAGCTAAAACATAAAAACAAAAATCAGCCAAAGGCAAGTTTAAAAAGATGAGTTTTTAGCTGTTTTTTAAAAGAGGTGAGTGAGTCCACAGATCTCAAACTCAATAGGAGAGAGTTCCAAAGTCTGGGGGCCATAGTTACAAAAGCTCTGTCACCTTTTGTTTTCAGCCTCGTGTGCTGGACAACAAGCAAGCCCTCATCACATGACCTCAGGGGCCTGCTGGGGATGTAAGGATGTAAAAGATCACTGACGTATTTTGGTGCTTGTCCATGCAGAGTCCTGAATGTCAAAATCATAATCTTAAAGTGGACTCTGAATTTTATGGGGAGCCAGTGCAGCTGGATCAGCAGGGGTGTGGCATGGGAGTACTTGATAGACTTGGTCAAAGCCTTGCGGCAGCATTCTGAACATCCTGCTGATGTTCCAAGGAGGTATTACATAAACAGGTGAACAAGGAATTACAAGAGTCCAAATGAGAGGAAACAAATGCATGAATGATCATTTTCAGTTCAAAGCATGAAACAATAGGACTCAGCTTCACAATGTTTCTTAAATGGTAAAAACAGGAGCGGACCAGAGATTTAACATGAGCGTCCAATGTCAGAGCTGGGTCAAAAGTAACACCAAGATTCCTAATAGAAGATTTTGCAAATAAACCAAGAGAGCCTAAAGATAGAAAGACGATGATTATTAAAAAGGTTTTATAATAAATCAACATTGTTATAGGAATGTAAAAATAAATTAACAACATCAGAAAATCAAAAAATCACCTTCCATGGCTCTAAAACATTGGAAGCATCAGTGCCTATCAGTAGCTCCACCTCTGCATCAATGTCGTGAAGTTTAACAGGTTTAAGATGAGGCCACTGATCAATGTTGCCTTGCTGGGGAATATTGACTGTAGAAGCTGGCATGGTCTTTTGAGTCAAAACATCTGGCAGCGGCATGAAATCATTTGCTTCCAAACCAGACAGAACTTGTGCACTAACAATCCTATCTTGACTCATTATTCTCAAAAGGATATTGGTCTTTTTACCTTTTAGATTCAGTCTTTTTGCCAGGGTTTCTGTACAGAATGTACCTGAACTTCAAGGATCCAGGATTTCTTTTGTTTGACAGACCAAACATCCCACAATTAAAAGTCCACAAGCCACTGCTGCACTGAGATAATATTTCGTACGCAGGCAAAAGAAGTCCACTGTCCAAACTTGAAAGTTGCGTTTTTATGATTTATTTTATCCAGTTTGGCAAGCAATAACAAGATCCATTTTTGTTACTTCCTGCTGCTTCTCCTGCTCTGGTAAAAAAAAATACATAGGCCCACCCCAGTGCATGCTGGTCCTATACCTGTCTCTTTATTTATAGAAACAAAATGGCCCTAGAGCTCTTAGTGTCCAGTCCAGCATGTTACTTAAAGAATATGGAATCATAACAGAGACGCTGTACACATATGTCTGTATTTAATTCTTTGTATGCCTACCTAAATACACAGTGACACATCATAAACATATACACCAATAGTTTGATCAGTTTCAACAATATGCTGAGTCTATGTCTGTAACATCACATACTATTTTATAATCATTACATCTTTATAATGAAAGCAAAAATTTAATTAGATTTTGCACATCTTAAAAATTAGATGACAGGATACTAATGAAGGCTTGACTTGAAAAACAAAACAAAGACAAGTTAAAAAATGTGTCTTGCCTACATGCAAATGTGTAACTGTGGTTACGGGTTCAAGGCAACAGCTTCAACAAAAACCATCCAGATATGTCTAATTACTAATATGTACTAAAGTAGGAATATGTATGTATTTTCAATGATAGCAAAATTTGATTGATTTCATACAACCTATGTTTAATATTGTGGGTAAACAGCATACTTTTACACTTTTACAGATTTTGAGCATTACACCTTACAAGAGAAGTAACATTTTTCAGTACAATTTGCCATAATATGTATGAAATATACACATAAATTAAAAAAAAAACAAGAGTGGAATCCATGTTTGGGAGGAAAAATACTGAAAAGGGGCTACATTGTGAAAATCTTCACGTCTTTACTCTCATAAGTGTCTGAGAAAGAGATATCCTGCTTCTGACTTATCGATTCACTTTTCAGAGTTACATATTAAGGTGAAAGCTTTATCTCTAATTCAATTTTAGTTTTCTTCAGCCTCTTCATCAGCATGTGTTTAATGTCGCGAGTCTTGAAACAGTATATGACTGGATTAACAGCAGCAGGAAAAAGACTGTACAGCAATATCAACCCAATGCGGACATCTAAACTGAAAGAAAATCCAACAGCATAAGTCACATAAACAAAACATCTGGGTAGATAAAAAAGACATGTGATAAATATTTGTGAAGTACAAGTGGATAAGGTTCTTTTGCGCCCTGCAGAACTGGACATTTTCATAATAACCACAATAATAGAAATGTAGGAAAACAAAATGAATGCAAGAGGAAGCAAAAGACAAAACATGGCTAAACAGAGTGAAGTGACTACAACAATTCTAACATCGTCTCCACAAGCCTGGCTTATTATGGATATGTTGTCACAGTAGCATTGAACAATGATGTTTGATTTGCAGAAAGGTAAAGTTAGGGCATGGAGTACAACAGCTATCATCAAAGGCAGAGGTATGAACCAAGCAAACCCACACAACACAGATATGACACTGTTTGTAATTAGAACAGGGTAACGAAGAGGAATACATATTGCAACAAATCGATCAAGAGCCATTACCAGCAAGATGAAAGATGTTACTGATCCCAAATAATGAACAAAGAACATTTGCGTAAAACAGCCATAAAATGAAATAACACTATTGTCAAACCAATATTTTGACATGATTTTTGGCAGTGTCACAGTGCCAAATGTCAAGTCATTCAGGGCCAGGTGACAAAAGACCAGATATGTTGGCTTTTGCAGGGACTTTTCATAGGCAACAAATGATAAAATGAAAATGTTCCCCAATGCAATTGCTAGGTAAACAAAAAAAAGAAAAGTTGATATGGGTCCATAATACTGTGGTGAAAGTCCAGGAAATCCAAGGATGAAGAAGCTTTTCATCCTTGTTACATTGGTGATCATAATTTCAGTAACAAATTTGATTAGAGCTTTGAAATATTGATATGAGAATATACTACTAACATGCACTATAACATTTATACATTAATCATTTTCCAGAAATCATTAAAAAAAGCTATTTAAAAGGTGGTCTTAGAAAAAAGCAATTAATTAGATGATCTCTGTTACATACTTTGAGTATGGCTTTTGCTTCTGATTGCAGCTCTATATTCAAAAGAGTGTCTGGGTGGTAGGCAGCATCCATCTTTTATGAGGTCTGACCTGTTGTATCCTCAATGGACACCCTTTAGCACACCCTTCTCTCTTCCTTTTATTTATATAGCACCTTTCAAGATAAAATCACAAAGTGCTTCACCAAAGCTAAAACATAAAAACAAAAATCAGCCAAAGGCAAGTTTAAAAAGATGAGTTTTTAGCTGTTTTTTAAAAGAGGTGAGTGAGTCCACAGATCTCAAACTCAATAGGAGAGAGTTCCAAAGTCTGGGGGCCATAGTTACAAAAGCTCTGTCACCTTTTGTTTTCAGCCTCGTGTGCTGGACAACAAGCAAGCCCTCATCACATGACCTCAGGGGCCTGCTGGGGATGTAAGGATGTAAAAGATCACTGACGTATTTTGGTGCTTGTCCATGCAGAGTCCTGAATGTCAAAATCATAATCTTAAAGTGGACTCTGAATTTTATGGGGAGCCAGTGCAGCTGGATCAGCAGGGGTATGGCATGGGAGTACTTGATAGACTTGGTCAAAGCCTTGCGGCAGCATTCTGAACATCCTGCTGATGTTCCAAGGAGGTATTACATAAACAGGTGAACAAGGAATTACAATAGTCCAAATGAGAGGAAACAAATGCATGAATGATCATTTCCAGTTCAAAGCATGAAACAATAGGACTCAGCTTCACAATGTTTCTTAAATGGTAAAAACAGGAGCGGACCAGAGATTTAACATGAGCGTCCAATGTCAGAGCTGGGTCAAAAGTAACACCAAGATTCCTAATAGAAGATTTTGCAAATAAACCAAGAGAGCCTAAAGATAGAAAGACGATGATTATTAAAAAGGTTTTTTAATAAATCAACATTGTTATTGGAAAGTAAAACTAAATTAAAAACATCAGAAAATTTAGCAGCAGTAGAGGAATTTAAAATGCAAGAGCTAACCACATGTCGAATACGAGAGAGAGAAAGATGGAAAGACAGGAAAAAACAATACAACAATGTCCAAAATAAAAATGTCCTCAGAACTAATAAAATCACTGGTTAATCCTTGTCAGGGTTTCTGGGTCGTTGACCCAGTATTTTCAGTTCATGTTCACTGTTTATCTACTGCCTGTTCCACTTCCTGTTTTATTGTGTTAGCCTTGGTCTGTGTGCATTATGTTCAGTCCTCTTCCCATTTATCATTAGTTCATTATGTTCAGCTGTGTACTCACTGGTCTCTCATTATCATCATTATCATCAGTCTGTGTATTTAAGCCCTCTGTTTCTACTCGTTCACTGTCGTGTCATTGATGTTGATGTTATGTTGTCCTTCCCGTGTGTTCCCTCAGTTCAGTCAGCCATTCAGTTGTCCAGCCAGTCAGTGTCCGTTCACCCTCTGTTCATCCACTCCTTAAAATAAACCTTCACCAGTCTTCACCTACCTGCGAGTCCTGCATTTGGGTTCCTTCTTCCTCACCTCCACACAACACCTGACAATCCTAAGGTAAAAACAAGGTCCAGTGTGTGTCCTTTGGTGTGTGTAGGGCCAGACACATTCTGTGTAAAATGAAAATAATCCATGACGCCAAGGAAACTTCTGGCAAAGAGGTCAGAGTCATCCTCAATGTGTATATTAAAATCCCTGACTATAACCAGTTTGGACAGCTTCAAAGTGGAGGATAAAAAGTCAATGAACTCCTTTAAAAATTGACCATTTATGCCAGGTGAGCACTACAGTGTCCTCTCTCGAGAGCGGGAGAGGGATAGGCCCTGACCGTCGACACTCCCGGCCCCTGGGCCAGGGACAGGGAGGTGTCAGAAGAGGTGGGTCCAGGTGCTGCCTACATGTCCAGCAGCAACCACGGAGCTTGTCTGGGGTCCACCCATGTGGCATGTGACAGTGACGCAGCAATCACAGCCGTGAATCTAAAAGAAGTCCTGGTTTTCATTGACGATCTCATTGTTTTTGCACCAACTCTTGAGGAACATGAAGCTCGCCTGATGAAAGTTCTCACCAGACTCAAAGATTTTGGCTTGAAGCTTTCACTTGAGAAATGCGTGTTCTTCCAGACATCTGTGAAGTATCTGGGCCATGTAGTGTCCCAGGCTGGTGTTGAAACTGATCCGGACAAGATTTCCACACTCACTTCTTGGCCAGTGCCAAAAAACTTGAAGGAATTAAGATCTTTCCTTGGTTTTGCTGGGTACTACAGACGTTTTGTCCAGGGATATTCAGCCATTGTCAAGCCGTTGCATGATCTCACTGCTGGTTATCCACCTTCCCAGAGGAAACTGAGACAAACTGTAAAGCCAGAGAATTACCTCAACCCCAAAGAGCCATTTGGAGGACGATGGACGCAAATGTGTCAACAAGCTTTTGAGTCCATTATTGACAAACTCACTTCTGCCCCAGTTCTGGCATTTGCTGATCCCAGAAAACCATACACACTCCACACTGATGCCAGTGCCACAGATCTTGGTGCGGTGCTGTATCAAGAGCAGGATGGAAAAAACAGAGTCGTAGCATATGCCAGCAGAGGTCTTTCCCGGAGTGAGTCAAAGTATCCCGCCCACAAATTGGAGTTTGAAATGGGCGGTGACTGAAAAATTCCACGACTATCTTTATGGTGCTCAGTTTACAGTTGTGACAGACAGCAACCCATTAACATACCTCTTATCATCAGCAAAACTTGACGCTACCGGTTACAGATGGCTTTCAGCGTTGTCCACTTTCACCTTCAAATTAATCTACAGAGCAGGAAAGCAGAACGCGGATGCTGATGGTTTGTCTCGCCGACCTCATGGTGAACTGTCTGATGATCCTCTGTCACAGAAAGAACGTGAGCGAATCTGGAGATTTGCATGGCAACATCTCAATGAACCAGATCATGTCTCTATTGACCAGCATACCATCAAAGCAGTTTGTGACCGTCATCTGGTGTACAGTTCAAGCACTGATCCTGATCTTGCTCTGGTGTTATCCATGTCTGTCAATGTCAACAGTCTGCCTGACAGTTTCACGGACGACATCCAGTTCACCTCCATGGTACTCCCCCAAATCTCAACAGTTGACCTTGCAGCCAAACAACGCCTTGACCCTGTCATCCGGCATGTCATAGCTCAGGTTGAGCGAGGAGAGTCCCCACCGCCATTCCTGAGGGAAGAACTTCCCGATTTACCTCTATTACTGCGAGAAGTAAATAAACTGGAGCTCCATAACACCCTTCTCGTCAGGAAGAGACAAGTGGGAAGTGACTTCACATACCAGCTAGTGCTACCTGAGGAATATCGACCAGTTGTACTACACCACCTACATGATCAAATGGGTCACATGGGAATTGACAGAACGCTGGACTTGGTCCGTTCCCGGTTTTATTGGCCTAAGATGACGAGTGATGTGGTCAATAAAATAAGACACTGCCAAAGATGCGTGAGACGCAAATCTCCATCTGAACGAGCCACACCTCTGGTCAATATCAAAACCTCTCATCCCATGGAACTGGTGTGTATGGATTTTCTCTCTGTGGAACCAGATCGTGGAGTCAAAGTCATAACTGACCATTTCACAAAATATGCCATTGCTGTGCCAACACCAAACCAGAAAGCCAGGACTGTTGCCAAATGTTTATGGGACAACTTTCTTGTGCATTATGGTATCCCAGAACGCTTGCACAGTGACCAAGGCCCTGACTTTGAATCCAGAATCATCCGAGAGCTTTGTGAAATGGCTGGGATCCACAAAATAAGAACCACTCCATACCATCCAAGAAGCAATCCTGTTGAACGGTTTAACCGAACATTACTGGATATGCTAGGAACACTCACAGCTCAACAGAAATCCCATTGGAAAGATTTTGTAAAACCCCTGGTGCATGCATACAATTGCACAAGAAATGATGTTACAGGTTTTTCACCATATGAGCTTATGTTTGGCCGCCAACCTCGCTTACCGGGCGACTTGGCCTTTGGACTACCCCTTGCCAAAGAAGGATCAACATCCCACACACAATATGTGGAAAAACTAAAGTCCCACCTAGAAGAAAGTTACAAGCTGGCCATCGAAAGCTCAGAAAAGGTGATGAAACGTAACAAAAACAGATTTGATAAAAATGTCACTGCATCACAGCTGAATGTTGGAGACAGAGTTCTTGTGAGGAACGTGTGGCTAAGAGGCAAACACAAGCTTGCAGATAAATGGGAGTCATCTGTGTACATTGTAGTGAAGAAAGCCGGCACTCTTCCTGTGTATACAGTTCGACCCGAAGGCCAAGACAAGCCCCTGAGAACTTTACATCGAGACCTCCTACTGCCCTGTGGGTATTTACCACCTGAAAAGGAAAGGCTTACTAAGCAGAAGAGAAAAATGCCTGTCTTACCCATGTCTCCTGTATGTGCTGATGCTGATGACAATGACGAAGAGGAACTCGTCTCATACCTACCTATTCCTTTCTCTGCTGAACCAGTCACCTTCACAACAACCATTGACTTACCCAATACTGCGCAACCTGTTCCACTTATCAACCAGCCAGATGTCCCTGTAGTATTGGCTACAGAGGAAGAGAATGCTATTCTCTCAGAGGAACCTGTACCTATTGAAGAGGAACAAGTTATTGCTAACGGAACCTTGGAAGCTGGCTTTGAGCCAGTTGACCTTGCAGAAACTTCACACGATGAAGAAAGTCTGTCTTGTGATTCAGAAGCATCCAGAAATAACTTGTCACAACACTCACCTACTGAATCATAGCCTCTCAGTCCTGAGGCAGAACCACCCTTGAGGCATTCAACCCGCACCAGGAATCCTCCTGATCG